CCTCCAGAGCTGGGCGGAGGGCCCGCTGTGGCGGGGCTCCTCGGGGTGTCTCGGCCCTACGCGAACTGCCGGATCTCTCGTTCGGGTCCCTGCGATGGGGGACAGACAGTGCGGTGCGTCTGGGGCGGCAGCGGCCCGTGCTCCTGTGTTTTCACTTAGGCTTCCCGACAGGTCGCTGCGCGCCTGCCCGCGCCACCGCTGGCCGGCCGTGCACTGTCTGCCCTATTTATGGGCTGGGGCCTCTGGCTGGAGGAAGGGCCCTGTCTCTTTAAGACAGCCCTCCTTTGTGTGCGCTGCGGGGGGCACATTTCTGCTCCGGGTTCCTGCCTACTGGTAAAATCTGCAGAGCAACGTTTAAATAAAGAAATAAACAGAAGCCTCCCTTGTGTGGCTTTTCTATTCACAGCTGAGCACAATGGCCCCTTGTTGAAAGCACTTTAATCTCCTTCATTAAATCGGAACCCTGCAAGAGAATGGCGGGGGGCCGATGCCGGCCATCCCCGTGCTGGAAGCGGGGCGCCTTGTACACGAGCTCCTGAGGCCTGGGCCCCCAGCTCTGCTCCATGTCCTCTGCGCGCGGGCTGCTGCCCCCGCAGCTGCCATTCTCTGCAAGAGGAGAGTGCTTAGCTGCCTTCCTGGCACAGCAGCATGGCCGCAGCACGTGGCGGTCGTGGTGGGGGGAGTTGTTTGTTGCCCTGCCATCGGCCTGTCAGCCTGTCTTCTGCAGTTTAACCCTCGTGGCCGCACAGGAAGCCACGGCCTGGTCGGGTGCCCTTCCTGGGGCCCCGCGCTTCCCCTGGGGCCGGGGGCTCAGGGGGTGCGGCTGTCTGAGTCCTGCTGCTGCTGACTGTCCTGCTGCGGCCTCCAGGGTCCCTCAGACGCCCGCCCTGCAGCCCCAGCGGAGGCTCTGCGCCTCTGTGGCACCGCGGCTGTGTCGCTGGTGGCGGCCTCCGGGGGCAGTGGAGAGCGGGGGTCGTGAGCTTTAGCAGGGGGTGCGTTTGTCAAAGTGCTGGAGCTTTTCTCATCTCAGAGCAAAGTTCCATTAGAAAAATGAGATCTGATGATCTATGAGATCTGCTTTTTTTCTGTTTTTTTGAATTTTTAGATGATATTTTTGAACCAGAAGGGAAGCAGCACTGTGATGTAAGGTGACTGCATGTAGAAGGAAGACGTGATTCACACAGTGTGTGGTTGAGGTCAGGAGCCTGCATCAGATAAAGTGAATACGTGTCTCGCCGATTTTTACTGCTAACTGGCCAGAACCTTCTTCTCTCTGACCACTGGGTCCTAGAATGCCCGTTTTTGCTAGTGACCATAGACTCACATTTGTATTTTTCATTTAAAAATGCAGTAGTGCCCAGATACATTTTTTAAGCCCGCGTTCAGAAGCTCCTCCCCTGCATCTGCACCCACAGACCCACTCCCCGGAAGCAGCCGCTGGGAATTCGTGTTTCTCCCTGTCAACCCCCGGCAGGCGCCGCCAGGGGCGCCTATGGGATCCCCCGGCACTGGTTGTCTGCCCGAGTCACGGGTCGCCTCTGACCCCTCCACGCACGCCGTTCTCTTCTTCCCCTCCTCCCTGTGTGTTTGGGAACTTACCACAATTTTAGGTTCCTTTCTTTTCCCCTTTGGACCGCCGTACCTACAGTTAGGACCTGGATGTCTTGTCTGTGGTCTTGTGCCTACCCCCTCCTCCCCCGCCAAGAGGAAGCCCTGGGCCCTGCTCCCCTGCCCGGCAGCCGCCAGACTGCCGGCCTCAAGCCTTTGGCTGCTCTTCCTCCACCTTGACAAGATCACGGGCGAACGTCTTGTCTGTTCTGTGACCAGGACGGGCCTCTGTGCTGTGTCTGCTGGTTGACTCTGAAGGTAATGTGCACACAGCACACGACAAGGACCACATGCTGCTCAGACAGGAGCCGCGTGGCTCTCTGATGGGCTCCCTCTGCAGGGAGCCATCCCAGCACCAGGGGCCCCTCCTGACCTGGCACCGATGGCTCAGAGCGCCACCCGCGCCGCTTGCCCCATGGACACCAGGACTCCCTGGAGCCTCAGGCCCCTCGGTTGGCCTGCGGTAGGCAGTTTTGGGGCCCTGGCATCGCTCCTGGCATTCTGTCAAGAGGAGACTAAAGCGTGTGCACGGAAGGTCGACTTTTGGGGTCTTGTGGGCTTGAAGGGCTGTTCTGTCCTCCTGCCTGCCCAGGAATTAATTCTACGGTCAGTCGTTTTTATTTAGGACCCTGAAAGTGCCCCCTGCCTTTGTACACACGGACACAGTCTTGCGGTCGCCGCTGGTCCCCCAGCCAGGTGTGGCCGGCCCTGGACTTCTTATGGACGGTTAGGGTCGGCTTTACTCTTGCAGCCTCTGGATTTTGCTGTGATAGTTTCTCTGTGAGATGAGGAAAGCCGTCACTTAGACTGAATGAATTGACTGTTTTATTTTCAGTTTGCTTTTATTTTCAAGTCTTGTCTTTTGCTTTTGTTTAATGGGAGGGCCTTGGCTTTATCTGTTACTGACTTTCTTATTTTGGGAGGAGGCTGGAGGGTCCAAACTTGTTTAATTTCCAAGAGCTTATACTTTTTCTGCAATTGTCCCTTTTCAGAGTTTCCTATCCTTTTAAAGTTTTCTTACCTATGTCTGTCTGCCCCAGATTGGGTTTTCTGCCCCTTGCTTCGTCCCTCCCTTGGGCTGTGGGCTCAGCCACCTCTGCGAGGTGAGAGCGAGGCAGCGGCTGGGGCTCCGTGCTGGGGCCTCTGGGACTGGGAGCCCCACCTCAGGCTGGTGTCCGGGAGCCTCCTTGGCAGCGGGACAGTGCCTGGCCCAGCCGTTGGCGTGCAGGCCGCTCGGGCCCCGGGTCCCCTGCTGGCTGCCCGCTCACGTGAACGTTGGTTCCGTTCTTTTGCTTTGGCCTTGGAGTATCCAGGGCGGAACGGGAACACTGGGCTTCTGGGGCACATGTGGCCTGGACACGCACGCGGCCGTCCTGGTGCCCCTGCTCTCCGCCGGCCTCACTGATGGTCTGATTAAGCCACGGCCATAGCCGCGAAATCAAAGCCGTATCACTCATTCCCTGTAGAATAGCTATTGAAGAGGAAGTATTACCTCCGAATTTCAAAACCATGTTACGTTAGAATGAGTATTTGTCTTCCAGAACCTCTGGAAATGGGCTCCTTAAAGGGAACACCTGGTCTTAACAGGCTGGAGGTCTTCCTGGTCCGAAGTGCAAGACCATCAGAACGAACTCCTGGGCGAGCTTTTCCCAAGGGCAGGGCGTGCGTCCGTGGCGGGTGCGTGGGTCCTCACAGCGGGGTTTTGCTGACAGAGCTGATTGGCAGTTGGTCTAACTTTATCCTGAGGCCACGCGGGAGCGCTCACCTGAGTCCTTGGGGCCAAGGGTAGCCGGGCGCAGCCTGGGCTGGGCTTGGACCGTCTACTGAGCCTGAGTTCAGCGCGGCCTGTCGAGCAGCCTTGGACACAGGGGGAGCCTCAGACCACGGAGCTGTGCCAGTCAGGCCACGGAACTGCTCAATGGGCCGCAGCCGCTGGCGCTCCGAGGGAGACGGGCCACCGCCCGAGGAGCGCACCTGAGGGGGTGCCAGCTTGGGCAAGGCCATGCCTGGCCGGGCAGACGGGCCATGGGATTGGGTGCATTTCTTATTGTGGCTCTTGGAGTGTAAGAGACGTGTTTCTAGAGAAAGGTGAGGAAAAGCTGGATTTTTAAAAAGAAAGTTAACCCAGGTAGTAGACTTCATTGTGGTCTGTTGTTTTTAGCCTCTGTTGTTGTCTTACATGACGTTCGTGAAACGCTCGGGGAAAGGAACTGCCCTTCGGCTAGGTGGGCGCAGTCTCGGTGCCACAGGCCGGCCTCGCGCCCCGACCTGCTGGCTGCTCTCAGGAGCCGCAGCCCCGGCCTGGTCCGGTCCGCCCAGGGAGACCGGCGAGTGTGAGCGCAGCGGACCTGCCCTTTCTGGTGGCCCCTGTGGGAGCAGCCAAAACAGCAGGTTTTACTTTCCAAGTTGTAAGTTCAGTGTGTGATCAACACAAGATATTAGTGAGGAGAGACTGCTAGTGTGTACAAAGCCTGGTGTGCATTTTGCACACATAGCGCATCTCACGCCAGGCTCGTGCATCCCCAGTGCTTGTTCACCAGCTGCACGTGGCCCTCGGCTACCACACTGTGCCTTGAGCTCCAGCCCACTCAGCTGCCTGGGGGACGGGCGCGCCCGCACACCGCCCCGCGGTCTGGGACATGGGTCCCGTGCTTTGGCCCTGGAGGAAACGAAGCTGACACTTTGGAGCTTCTGCTAAGCACCAAGCAGGGTCTGGGCGCTTAAACTGCACTCTTGGACTCCACCCCCATAGCGGCCCGCGAGGCGGGCACAGCGCCCCACTCGCTGGCGATGAAGCACAGCCGGAACAGGGTGGGTTGGGCGGCCCGTGCAGCGAGCTGGCTCGTGTGCACGGGTGTGGGCCAGTGGGCCTTGTGCCGGTGCTCCCCTCCCTCCCGAGACCCCGCGGCCCCAGCATGGGCAGAGGGTGTGCGCGCATTTAAAACGTTCAAACCGTGTAAAGGTGTGAGGCAGAGAGAGAAGTCCCCAGAGTTCTCAGCTTGGGGTGTATCCTTCTAGGTTTTTCCTCTGTCCATGCGGAGCCCCTCCCCTCCGTGCTCCAGGGAGGCGCACGGCTTCCCGCTCTGCCATGGTCCCTGCCCCACCTGAGGTGTCAGAGCTGGCATTCCACGTTGGGGTTGGACTTGGGCTCGGGGAGGCAGCTGAGGCCCAGAGAGATGAGGTAACCAGCCCCCGCCCCATCCCGACTCCTCCTGAGCCCCGCGTGGAGGTGTGGGGGCCGCAGCAGCCCTGGCTGTCCTGCGCGGCGGGTGCCTTCCCCCAGCTCCCCTCCACGCCCCGGCTCCTTTGCCTTTGACGTCTTCTGGTGGCCCCTGGGTTTTATTTACTTTTTGGCGAGATGCTTTCTTCTGACATTTTCTCCTTTCCTGCAGTTCCCAGTGACCTGACTGCAGAGGAGCGTCAGGAGCTGGAGAACATTCGGCGGAGGAAGCAGGAGCTGCTGGCTGACATTCAGGTAGGAGGGCGGTGCGTGCCGCTGGGCGACGGGCGTCCTCTGCAGAGTGTCCTCCTGACCCGGCACAGCTCTGCACAAAGTGTAGACGCGAGAGCTGTCACCTGACAGGTGGAGAATGGCGTGCAGGGAGGTCCGTGGTTGGTGAGCGCCACCAGCTGGTCAGTGGTCAGAGGCAGTGACCGTGGCTCCGGACTCTGGGGCGCGGGAGGTGCTGTGACCGAGCGCAGAGCCGGCCCACGGGCAGGCCGGGCACCGCCGCTTGCCGGGCGAGCAGTTTCGGAGGCCCAAGCGCTGGCCCCTCGAACTTCAGCTTCTTTATGTGGGAGGCAGGAGTAAAAACACCTGCTGACAGGCGTCCGCAGGGCTGAGTGAGATCGTAGTCATGCGGGACCTGGCGTGGCTGCTGGTCACCCAGAGATGCGTAGTCACCGTGAGTGCCCATCAGGGCTTTTCTGAGTCCCTCTGCGGAGCCAGCAGGCTGTGCGGGGCACCCGTGGGGGGAGCCCTTAGCTGGGCTCTGTCACCCCGTGGCAGCAGGTGCTCTTCTAGGGTTCTCCGTGAAATATTTGGGAGCAGGGCTGCACGGGGCAGGGGGCGCTCCCTGGCCCCCCGTACCGCAGAGCGTGCAGCTGCAGCGCGGAGCCCTCGGCTGCCACGCTGTGCCTTGAGCTCCAGCCCACTCAGCTGCCCGGGGGACGGGCTGGCTTCCGGGCTCTGGTCGCTCGCCCTAATGCCTTGATTCCTGTTCCACTGGAAGAGGCCAGGAGGGCTCGGCCCGTCCCTGTGACAGCCCCTGATGAGAGGGGCTGGCATGCAGCCCCTGCAGCCGCCGGGCAGCTGTGTTGGCCTGCGGGCAGCTGGGGGGGGCGGCGGGGGGGCGGCCGCAGGGCCTCCTCGAGGTCGGGGGGTGCCTCTCACGTGAGCGCCCCCTTGCGTGCTCACTGTTGGGAGGAGCTCGGCATTTGTGGACTAGAAGAATTTTCCAAAATGTTTTAGAGTTTTTATTTGTTTTTCTTATTTCATTTTGCTTTTCATTGGAAGTTTTGTGAGATTTCAGAGATTTTTAACTTGACACGTATCTTCCTCTCTGGTGATCTGGCCTGTCTCCTTTTGCAGAGGCTGAAGGATGAGATAGCAGAAGTGGCTAATGAAATTGAAAACCTGGGGTCCACAGAGGAAAGGTGAGTCCCCTGTGCCAGCAGGTTTGTGGCTGCAGCTCCGCCGCGCACCCAGCCTGCCACTGTGGTGTGTTTAAGGGGACAAGTGCGCCTTTCGTCGTGTGTCCTCGCGAGCACATGTGGAGCCATCCTTGCTGCTTTGCACCCTTTGGTGTGGGACTCACGGACGTGGGGCCTTTGGGGGGGGAGTACGAACTGGAGAACCGGAGGGTCCCCCGCACCTTCGGTGCCCTCACCACCGCGGGGGTCACGCTTTCTCGCTCCTCACGCTGCTCCGTGTGTGCAAGCAGGCCGGGCTGCCCGGCGCTGCCCGGGGGCCGCGCCAGCCGCATTCACTTCCCACGCCGGGAGAGGGGAGCGAGCAGGAACCAAGTTGCGGTGCAGAGTGACAAGGAGAATTTGCGCCTTGTGTTTATCTCTTAGCTACGTGGGGTGTTAGTGACTCTGAGAGTTTAGTTTTGAATGGGCTTCCCAGACCATTTGCTAACTACTTAATGCAGTAAATGGGCTGTCAATAATTTCATCCATGTTGGCACTTTTTTATGCACAACTCTCCCAGGCAGAGCCCTGAGCCTGTCTGACGGCGTCGCTGCAGATGGGTGTGGGTGGGGCCAGCTGGCGGAGCGAGGCTGCCGGACGCTGGGACAGGTGGCTCGTTGCCTGCAGCCTCTGCATTGTCGGTGTTGGGTCACAGCTGTCTTTTCCTTTTTGAAAATATGCAGCGTAAAGGAAATGGATGAATTAGAGTTCATCAAAATTTAAAACTTCTGCCCTTATAAAAGATACTGTTATAAGACATGAGCAGGCAAGCCACAGACGAGGAAAAAATATTTGCAATACCTGTATTTGAGAATTAGTATCCAGAACATATAATATATAAGGAACACATACAATTAAAAAAAAAAAAAAGGGTAGCCTAAACAAAAAAAATGGCAAAAAACTTGAAAAGACACTGTAAAGCGAGCCCTGTGTTAGTAGACACATGAAAAATGCTTACCATCCACCGATGTCACCCTCCACCCCGGGGTGGCCAAAGCAAGGGCATGGCTGGCGGGGGCGGGGGCGGGCGAGGCGGCTGTTGCTTGCAGCGCTGCTGGGCGCCGCTCCTGGCATGTCGCCCGAGAGGAGGGAGGTCTGCCCTCTGAGAGGCGCGCGCAAGGACTCTGTAGCGTTCCCGGTTCCCAAGAGCCAAAACGTCGACGTAGCTTGGTGCCCGCCAGCAGGTGCGGCCTGCCGTCCGTCGACAGATGGTGGTAATAGGCCCTTAACTCACACAATGTCCACTTCCTGGGAGAAGGAAATGTTGGAAAGCTGGCTTGTGGGGATAGTTGCACAGCTTAGCTTATGAAACATCCTTTAACAGTACACGAAAGTGGGTGTATTGGATGGTGTAAGTTATGGGTTATAAAGTTTAAAACCCCCTGTGAAAAACAGAAAGCTCCCGGAGTGGAAGGAGCGCCTGGGCGTGAGGCCCAGGCTGGGGTCTCAGAGGCCCCCGCCGCAGCTCGACCAGAGCGAGCCTGCTGCCCCCGGTAGGTCTTCCTGAGCTCCCCTGAATCATCGCGCGCGCGGGCATGGCGTCAGCCTTTCAGCCCTCCCGGTGGCCCAGAGCCCTGAGGCGGCTGTGGCGCTTCTTTTACAGGAAGAACATGCAGAGGAACAAGCAGGTAGCCATGGGCAGGAAGAAGTTCAACATGGACCCTAAGAAGGTGAGCGACGGGGACCCCTCAAGCTGCGGAGCACGGCTTGCGTGGTGTGCTGCCCGCTCCCCCCCACCCCCCGTCAGCGCCTCTGGGTCCGCAGCAGCACCCGTGCCCAGCCCCCGTGCCCTTCGCCTGCCTTCCTGGGCGTTTCTGGGGCAGGCGCCATCGGCATCTCTGCGGTGTTGTTCCAGGGCATCCAGTTCCTCCTGGAGAACGACCTACTGAAGAACACCTGTGAGGATATCGCCCAGTTCCTGTACAAGGGCGAGGGCCTCAACAAGACGGCCATCGGCGACTACCTGGGGGAGAGGTGAGGCCCGGGGCACATGGCAGGCAGAGTGGGCGGCGCGGGGTCACGCAGGGAAGCTTCAGGACGCCGGATTCTTGGTGGGAGTTTGTCCCGAGGCGGCAGCAGCCACACTGGCGGCGTGGCCCTGGGGGCAGCAGCTGGTGCGCGGGGAGACGGGCTTTCCGCCCCGAGCAGGTCCCGAGCCCGCAGGACCCGACACGGGAGACTGCCCCACGGGGAGCGGGGATGAGCCCGGGTTCTCAGAGTACGACGCCTGCTTTCCCCACCCTGTGTCTTTTTCTTGACAGAGACGAGTTTAATATCCAGGTTCTTCATGCGTTTGTGGGCCTCCATGAGTTCACCGACCTTAACCTTGTCCAGGCACTACGGTGAGTGTAGCCGGGGCCAGCCCCTGCTTGGGCGCGTGTGGGAAGGAGAGGCAGGCCTGCGAGCGTGCGCCCGCTCCCTGCGGCGTTTCAGAGCACGGTGCTGGTGGGGTTCCTTCGGCTTTCGGGGAGGGCCTTGACGGAAAGCGCTCCGCGGGCCGCGGCGGCAGCGAGGCGTGGCTCGGGGGCGCCGTGCGGTCTGAGAGCCGACGTGGCAAAGCCTTCCCCCAGCTTTTTCATTTTGTACTTTGGAAATTGATGTGTATTTAAATTTTGAAATCCTTTCTAGTTTTGAAGTTTAGAATGTGCTTTAATTTCGGCCCCGCACTAGGAAGTAGGTGGTTGTACACGTCCTTTCAGAAGAAAGTAAACTTTAATTGTTTACTAAATCTGTGCCCTTGTGCCCTCTGAGAAATTGTCGTTCCGGGTTCTCACTGTGGTAGGCACAAACAGCGATGTCATTTTTGTGTTGTCATTTAGACAGAGAAACATAACGCGGGTTGGCCCTGCTGGCCACAGGTCTCTGCGACCTGAGGGATCGATTGTGAATGCTCGGTAGATAAATCTTTCCCTGCACCTCGTCTCGTTTCCTGAAAATCGGAGTGCACTTAGGACGAGTCTTGTCCGCACTTCAGCTCTGTGTTTTTTGAGGAGGGAAGCCGTTCTTTTGACTAGGAGAGCGCCTGTTTCTCTCTCTCCCTGAGCACCGTGCCCGTGCCCAGGAGAGCGGTGACGGGCCGCGTGAGCTTGCATCGAGCAGAGTCCTCGTCCCGGGGGCCCGGCCCCACAGTTGTCCCTGTGCCCTTGGGTAGAAAAATCCCCGCAAGCGTAAGGAACTGGGGAGGAGCGCCGGTGGCCCCCAGCCCTATGACCCGGCCACCCTGTCACACAGGCAGTTCCTGTGGAGCTTCCGACTGCCCGGGGAGGCGCAAAAGATCGACCGGATGATGGAGGCATTCGCCCAGCGGTACTGCCAGTGCAACCCCGGGGTCTTCCAGTCCACAGGTGGGCAGCCCGCTGCGCGTGCCTCGGAGCGTCGATGCGGGGGTGCTTATGGTAGCAAAAAGGGGGGAACAATCCAAAAGTCCAACCATAAGAGGTGGAATATAAATTGTGGTATCTTTAAATTATATAACTTAAAAATCATATTTGTAAGAGAGTTTTTTATTGTTATAGGGAAATGCTAATAAGATGAGCAAAAAGCAGGGTTCAGAGCCATGTACCTGTTTCGGTTCCCCGAGTCGCAGCGTGTGTCAGCGAGGCGTGCCGGGGACGGGGCACGCGGCACGCGGCACGCAGGACACGGCGCTGTTCGGCAGCGGGGTCAGGGCAACTTGTATTTTCTTCTTCACACACTGCGCGGTTTTTCCAGGTGCCTGCAGTGTGCCCTTCTGCTAGGATCTGAGAAAGGAAGCCCCTTTGAGGCCTGGACACTGTGTTTGTCGCCTTGCTCCCCCCAGCAGCTGCACGGGACCACTCAGCGAAAGTGGTCCCGCCCCTGGACTTGCCCTGGCTCCAGGCCCCCGTCTCTCCGGGCACTTCCTGTCCTCGCGGGCGTCTCTGATCGTCTCTGCTTTTCTCTAGACACGTGCTATGTGCTCTCGTTCGCCATCATCATGCTGAACACCAGCCTGCACAACCCCAACGTCAAGGACAAGCCCACCGTGGAGAGGTTCATCGCCATGAACCGGGGCATCAACGACGGCGGCGACCTGCCCGAGGAGCTGCTCCGGGTGAGCGCACCGGCCCGCGGCGGGGCGAGGGCCGCTCCTCGTTCGCGGGGCCCCGCCAAGGGCTCGGGGCCGGGGCGGTTTCTGGATCTGACGCTAACACCGGGCTGCTTCCTGCCCTTCCTGGATTATCCATCGGGCCTCGTCTTTCGTCCATTTCCCTCTTGTCCTTGGTGCCTCACAAGGAGTGCGCGGGCTGCCGCACAGGGCGCTTGTTGCGGGAGGCGAGAGGGAGGGAAGGAAGGAGGAAAGAAGCTTCTGGAGCCAGAGACATACAGTGTTTCTTTTATTCAGAATCTCTACGAGAGCATAAAAAACGAGCCCTTCAAAATCCCCGAAGACGACGGGAACGACCTCACTCACACTTTCTTCAACCCAGACCGCGAGGGCTGGCTGCTGAAGCTCGGTAAGCGATGCCCTCAGGGCGAAGGCCCTCACACGGACACTTAGAGCAGGCGTGTGTGCTTGCACACGTGTGTCCATGCTGTGGGAACACGGGGCGGTCACCGAGGTACTGCAGAGGGACTTTGGTATGAATTCATACTGTTGCCACAAAATCCACCTCCAGAAAGGAAGTGAAAGCCAGCAGTGCCCCCAGGGATGCTAGAGACTTGCGGGGCAGACTTCACCCGGCCACGAACATGGCCCGCGTGCCTTCGCACGCCACGTGTCTGCTCTGGGCCTCTTCCCTTCCTGCCCCGCCCTTCTTACTCACCGGGCGGGGGGCTGGCTGCATCCATCTCTCTACCTCCCATCACACAGACGCGCGTCCCACCCCAACCCCCGCGCATCACCCCGCTCTGCATCTGGCTCCCACCGGCAGCGTGCATGGCGAACCCCGGGCCGGCAGCCGCGCACCCCGCAGCCCCCTCCTCCCCACCCTGCGCAGGCCCAGTCAGCCCTGCTGAGGGTCCCGTTCCCCCCGAAAGCTAGGAAAGTCCTCCTCTTCCCCCGGGCAGACATGAGCTGTAGGGCTAAGGCTCATGCCGTGAAGGCGCTCGTTAACCCAGAGGGAGGGCGCGGTGGGGTTTCCATGGCGTCCCCGCCCACACTGTTACTGTCCCAGAGGCCGCCCTGCCGCCGGGGATGCGCAGAGCCAGCCTTCCGGCTGCTGAGAGCTCTTTGCTCTGCTTTGCTTCGGCCTTTGGTAGCGCGGGTCCCACGTCGTCAGGGCGCTCGGGAGCCCAGCCCTCCTCCACCGGTGCAGCCGCCTGGCTGGGGAGGCCAGAGCCAGGCCTCAGCTGGGAGGAGCTGTGGAGGAGTCTGTCATTCTGACTCGTCCAGCCAGCAGGAGGACTTGTATTTCCTGTTGAAAGCATAACCCAAGTCCTCGTGTTTATACCTCATGACTTAGCTCATACATTTTTAAAGTGCTGCCTTACTGATTAGAAATTTTAAGCTCTTGAATGAGCCAACATTCCATCTGCGTTTAAGCCACTGGAATCTGAATCGCCAAGCACAGCGGCGGCCGCTCTGCCCTGTGTCCTCAGCGCCACGCGGCCCGCCTCGAACGGAGACCGGCGGGAAGCGGAGCCAGAGCGCCCAGCTTGCGTCGGCCCCCCCTCCAGCGGCATTTGTTTAAATGCTGACGCGGAGGGTAGCTTGGTAGCGTTGACAGCCTGAAGCTAAAATTAGAACAGTACAACGACTATCTTGGTTCTTCCACCAGGACATGCAAATTCATGAGATTTCCCGTGTTTTTAAAGAGAGACTTAAGTAAGCGTGGGACTCAATGTTTAGGTCATCAAATCCCTTCTTCCAGCCCCCACCAGCCCATCCCCAGGTTGTGTCCACTCATAGCCCCTTGCGTCTGTGCCGCCGAGGGCGTGGGTGCACCTGCGTGTGCATGCAGCTGCAGAGTGTGCCCTCCCATGTGCACACACGGGTTTATATGTGTGCATTCATACACACAAACTAAAAGGGGGCGGCTAGCTGAAGACAGACCGTGGTTTTTCCCCGAAGTAGCCCTCCTGTGACCGAATGAAGGACAGCTTAGTGAGAACTCAGCTGTGGCACCTGTGGGGCCAGGCTTCCAGGGTGCCGTAGACCCTGCCTCGCCCCCTGGCCCCTCCCTTGCAGGGCAGATGGCAGGCAGCCCTCCCCCTGCCCCGCGCCCCCGGAGGACTGATGCATTGCACTTTGAGACGGAGGAGCGGGTTGCATTTCTTTGTTTTAATTTTCTTTTCTCCCTCATTTGTATGTTTCCATGATTTTGGCTCTCCTTGTCCCTGCCCCAAACTCCAGGAGGTATGTAGCCCCACCCACCTGCCCGCCCGCTCGCCCTGCCCAGGCTCTGTGGTCGCTGCAGCTTCCTCTTCTGTTGTTTTGGGTTGTTTTCTTTTTAATTGCTGGTGGTAGTTTTGATGCTGCTTCTAACTGCTCGCACAGTCCCTCAGGAACTGGCCAGGGTCCGGAGCCACTGCCCCGGTTCCCCGATCCGGCACAGCGCACAGCGGCCGGACTGCAGGCACCAGGCTGTGATCACACGCTTTCTGCGCCGCAGCGCGAGCGCATGGACAGGGCCCACCCGCTCTCTCTCGTGAGCGCAAGCCCTGTTTTGTGCATCTCAGTTGGCACCCACGAATTAAAAAGTAACCCGTGAAGTGGAGAGGAGGAGGAGGGCGCTGTGGCCGAAGCCCTGGCTCCTGGCCTGCGGTGACCGGACCCCACTGGGCTGTGCGGCCTAGGAGACGTTAACCTTTGTGTGAAAAGGGAAACGGTGTTTCCTAAGCTGTGAATGATGCCAAGTAGAACCTTCTTTAAAAAAAAAAAATCAAGAATCCCTCCTCGAATCCCCTTTGTTGCATTTCCTGGGTGTTGGGGGGCATTCCGACCGTGGCTCTGTTTTTTTTGCTTTTTCTGTTTTTGCCTCTCCTCCTCTTCAAGGAGGCATCGTTAAACGCCCCGAATCAGCCTCAGTCACGCTGTCGAGATCCGCCCTGCGGCGCTGATTCGGGGACATGGGATTTCCCAGGTGAGGAGCCCCTCAGTTTTGGCTTCAGCCCGACCTGGGCAGAACTGCCCGGGACAAGAGCCCCCGCAGCGGTGACGCGCATTAAAATGTTTGGAGACTGGCAGGCTGTTCCGGCCCCAAAGACCTATGGGTTTTCTACCTCGGGCTCAGGGCCCCCGAGGAGGAGGTGGCCCTGTGAGTTCCACAGGGACTGTCCTAGGCGCACAGTGACCTGTCTGCTTGCTTCGTGTCTGTATTTCCTTCCACGTGGAAGCCCCCCGAGGGCCACAGCGAGGCTTCTGCTTCCGGAGGCTCCGTGACACCGCAGGTGGTCAGGGCACGGCCGAGCTTCCTCGGTTGGGTACCCAGCCCCGCTTTCTCCGCTAGGCTCCCTCCCCCCTCCCTCCTTCGCCATCTAACCTTTCCCATGACCTCCTGAGCCCAGGGTGCCCGGCGGTCCTGCCCTCTAGTGAAGTGTACATTGTCATCGAGGGTGAGGTGTCCTGGGTGGGGGCGGAGGCCCAAGAGGTAGAAGAGCAGAGCTCAACTCCAGAGGGGGAGGGGGTCCTTTTTGTATCGAAATGGTTCCAATTCTAAGTGAATTCCTTGTCTTTTTCCTCGTTCACTTCGGTCTGCCCGGCCTCCCCCATTTTGCACATGCATGCAATGCCCTAGTTCCATCCGCGGTTTTTCCGAGCCCATGCCTTCAGGGACCAGGGCGCACGCTCACGTAGCCTGCCAGGTCGCTGTGGGGAGAGAGTCAGCCTGCCCCGCGGGGCCTCGCGTGCTTGCTGCGCATGCCCCTTCCACGGCCAAGGCCGGTACCAGTTAGGGCCTCGGCGTTCATGGTCTGCCTCTGAATCCCCCCTGAGAGTTTGGGCGCCAAGTGGCCCTCACACCGTGGCCAGGACCAGCGCCACACGCGCGCTTGACTGCCCACTATCACTCGCACGGCTCCCGCAGCCGGCCCCTCTCGGGGGTGGGCACGCAGGCATGGCCTAGCGGCTGGAAACACTCCCGAACCGCCCCGCTCTTTGGGATGAGGCAGCAGAGAAAGCAAGACCAAGGTCGCCCTGGGTGGACAGCCCCAGTCCCCGCTCTCTGTGGAGACTGCAGAGGCGACACTCTGCAGGCCGAAGCTTGGCTAGAAAAGCCCGTGCCGCCCAAGGCCGGGAGGCGGGCGCCCGGCCCCGGCGGCCTCGCACGGCTTGTGCAGCGTGCCTGCGGGACGCGTTCCCTTGACACGCTGCACGGAGAGGGACGGGAAGGCCAAGACTGAAGGCAGAACGCTGTCGTTCACGCAGGCCACCGTCAGGCCTCCCTCCTGTCCCCGAACCTCAGGCCCACGCTGTGTTGGGTCTTCAGCCGAGAGCTCTTTCGGGACGCGGGGAGCGGCCGCAGCGCACAGCCCTGCTCCAGCGCTTGTGCGGCCCCTTGCCTGGCTGTCCTCGTTACCAGTTTTCCAGGGAGAGGTCCAGGGTGGGGAAGGCTCCTGGGCCGCTCCCCCGCTACCCGTGAATCCTCCCGGAGGCAGGGCACTGGGGACATTCTAGTTGTAGGACGCTGGTCCAGGAGCCCAAAGCCAGTATAGAAATTCAGAGTGCCCGGGAAGGTGCAGTCCCACGTTCCAAGAAAGCCGTGGGTTTGGCGGCGAAGGGATGAAACGTTCTGCCTGTTTCCTCCCGGCCCCTCTGGTAGCACAGCTGTGCACGGCGGGGCTGGCTGGCCCGGCGGTGCGGCCCCGGCCAGAGGGCTGACCCTCTCCCCCACTTTTCTGTTTGCCCATTTCCACCCCACCGAGAGAGGCCCTCCACCCAGTCAGACGTCACGGCGCGCCCTCGGAGTCCCGGGCCCCTCCGCACAGCCTGCTCTCATCCTGCGCTCATCCGCTTCCCGGGTCACCTCCAGGGGCCGCCTGACTTGCTTGCTCTGCTCGTGCCCACAGGCTTTCACTGCGTGAAAGGCGCTTCTGTCTGGCTCTGTGTCTTGTTACCGATGTGAACCTTGCCATGGCTGTCTCCATGCCTCCCCGGTGCCCTGACCTGGCGCCCTCCTCCTTGCCCGGGGAGGGGCTGCGTGCCCCACGCTCCCCTCCAACACGCATCTCTTTCTGCTCTGCAGGTGGCAGGGTAAAGACGTGGAAGAGGCGCTGGTTCATCCTCACTGACAACTGCCTGTATTACTTCGAATACACAACGGTGAGCGCCCGCCGCTCGGCCTCGGGCCCCGCCTTGGAGGCAGTGGGGAGACCTCAGGCTTGTCGCCTACGTCCTTGGGGCCGGGGGAGAACTTAGGGGAGGGGAGAGCTGAGATCCAGCTTCGGGAGCCCTGGCGATGTGGGGTGTCCTGCCAACGTCCGGGCCAAGCCTGGAGCCGGAGAAAGCAGTGGGCGACGGTTACGCTGTTTGTGGGAAGCGGGTTTGGAGCTGGGCAGGCGGACTTAAATCGGTGGCCACGAGTCTGTGGCCTCGTGGAAAGAGGCGCAGCTGGATGTGATTTGGAGAATTCGGTTTTCTGGGGTAGCAGAAACGCCAAATCATTTGCTTCGGAAGAAGTGGCCACGGGGAAAAGCATAAATAGAGGGAAGGACGTGGAATGAAGTGGAAACCGCCGGAGAGCACCTGGAGCTGGAAGAAATCGAGGTGTTCTCGAACTGGAGGCGTTGTTGGTTTTTGTTCAGCCGGAAAGGCCTTAAGATATGTGTGATGTCTAAGCCCCTTTTGTGAGAAGGGCCCTTGAGGATAAAGCCCCCCGAGCACCTCTGCGGTGGCTTCCGCTGGCAGAGCGCCCAGGGGGCCTGGCAGGTCGGCGGCGGGCCCGGACCGGTGGCTCTCTCGTGCGTGCCGCCTCCTTGGTCCCCTGAAGGGCTGGGCGCGCAGCTCCCCTGTGTCCTAGGGCCCGCGGGGGCGGCCGACTTGCGCCTGCCCCCGTCTTCGCTGCCTGAGAGTCGGGGGGGTCCTGCTGAGAAGCTGGGGCTTCACCGCCCGTGCGCCGCGGGGGCGGGCGGCATGTGCGCTGCGGCCCGGCAGGGCCCAGGACTCAGCGCCGGCTGCGGGCGGGGGGGTGGGGGGGGACACGGTCCTGGCCGTCTCCATGCCTCGGCCCCTCGTGGGCCCCTCACGGCTCCTGCCGGTCTCCTCTCCGAAGGTGCTCTTTGTGGTGGCGGTCAGTGACCGTGTGTGCGCCACTTAGGTTCTGCAGCTGGCTTTGCTTTTCTGGTTTCGGAGTGTTTTCAAGTATGAGAGTGCTACCGTGTTTTGCCACGTATAATGTGCACTTTTTCACCCGAAGCTTTGAGGGAAAAGCAAGGGTGCTCATTGTACACGGGAGTAACGTGCCGGGGGTTACACCATACCATGGGCGCTGTTAGTCCCGTGTATAAGGCGCACCCACGTGTTGTGCACGTTATACACAGGAAAATACGGGTATATTTCAAATACATCAAACAATAAAAAAGTAGATTATTCCTATTACACACCCCAAAATGCCACTTTTATAGACAGTTTGGTGAATTTCTTCCCCCAGCCTCCCGCCCTAAAGTGTCTCGATTCTTGAGGATGTCTAGACTGAGGACATCTTTAAAATCTTGTCTGGGTTTTTTTCACTGTTCTCGGGGTTAAAATGAAACATACCAGTTTCTTTCTGCAAAACCGACCCCTTGTACTGGGACAGTCTCCGTAGTAACGCAGTGAGATCCCGGAATCTCCTGGTTCTTCCAAGGCCCAGCACGGTGGCCTCCCTGAGCCCCGCTCAGCCAAGTACCAGCGCCGGCGAGGCTGTGGGAGGACAGACAGTGGCACTTCCTTGCAGCGCGGAGAGCCCTCAGCGTTCCGGTGGCAGACTCCCTGGCAGAGAGGAAGTTCTATCAGAAGTGATGGGACACAGCGACCGCAGAAGGAAGGGCAGAACCAGCACGCTGCACTCGGACCGCGGCAGCCAGGGCGGAGGCCGCGGCCAGCGAGCCGGCGGAGGCCCTTGCCCTGCCGCCAGGGGCACCCCGCGGCCCGGCCTGCCCGTGCCTGGGGTCCAGGAGCGGCACAGCGGGCAGGAGCTCCCCTTGCCCTCTTCTGAGTGCAGAGCCATCCGCGCCGCTGCTGGGTGGAAATCGGTGATGACGAAATGGGGCTCCCTTCTGCCACACCCGTCCAGGCTCTGGGCTGTGTATGTGCTGGGGGACCTGTCCGTAGAGGGCGCCCGGGAGCACCCCGTCCCTCCCCGCAGGCTGCGGCCCTGATGCTGGGTGGGAGCGGTCCGGGGGCAGCGTAGGAGCCGGGCTGTCTGAGAGGCACTGCCCCTCCACGCCCCTCTCCTTCCTGAGACTATGGAAGTTTCTAGAATACAAAATACCCGGCCCTCCTGGCTTTCAGACCCAAAACAACGAATACTAAAATTACATCTTAAGTTTCAAATAAGGTAGAACTTTAGGGATTAGAACAGATCTCTGAAATATAATCTCTCTCACAGAGGAAAAGCTTGAGAGGGTCTAGGGGTTAAAGCTGAAAAAGACAACTATTAAAGCAATTAGGTGGAGAACTGAGTGAAAAAGGTGAAGGGAACAAGCAAAAAACTAAAACACCGGACCCGGACCACAGCAGGGTGACGGCCGGGGGGCGGGGGTCAGCGGCGGTGGGCGGGGGTCAGCGGCGGGGGGCGGGGGTCAGCGGCGGTGGGCGGGGGTCAGCGGCGGGGGGCGGGGGTCAGCGGCGGGGGGCGGGGGTCAGCGGCGGGGGGCGAGGCGTAGGCTGGCGAACACTCAGCAAGGCACACGATGCCGTGCTACGCCGTCGTTCCCCCTGAAACCTGTGTGATTTTATTGATCAATGTCACTCCAATAAATTCAATAAAATAAGAAAGCAGCAAAAAGCTAATGGACATGGAGGACAGATAAAAACAGCCCCGATGCCAAGAAGATCAGCCGCGGCAGGACAGGTGGTCACGGGCCCCAGCGGGGAGAGAGCCTGCCTCTGCGGTCAAACGAGCGTGCGGCGTCTGGGCGCTGGTGCCCAGGCTGGGCCGGCTCGAGTGCTGAGCTCGGAGCCAAGTCTCGGCCGCGGTTGGCTGGACGTCAGGGACTGGGAGGTGAAGACGGGCATCTGGAGTGTGTGTAGGCACATGCGTGGCGGCCACTGCTGAGCCACGAAGCCCTGGCAGGGCCGGGCGAGGCAAGGGCAGGAGCGGAGGGCCCTTGTGGGCCCTGGGGCGCGCGTCAGGCGGGCCCTTCCTGTTGGAGGAGGAGATAGGGCAGGCGGTGGCAAATGGGGGATGGCCTGGGATGCAGCCGGCACAAGTCCCCGGCCTGAGGGCGCCTGGGACTAGACAGGGCCTTTGGGGCTGGCTGGCGCCGAGCTGAGGCTTAAAAGGCGGATGGGGCCTGGCGGGGGCCACGGCAGTTCTGTGTGAGGGGCCCACCTGTGCTGTACCGAGGGCCAGTCGTGGCTCTCGTGGGCCATCTTCCGGACCCTGGGCGTTGCCCACTGTGGGGGCCTTTGCTGATGGGGGTTCGGGGGCGGTGCCTCGATAGCGTTCTGCGTCCCTTGACGCTGTTGTTATTTGAGAGCATCTGGGGTGGGGGGGTGGGGCCCCACTGAGCTGGGAGGAGTTGGGAGGCAAGAGGCGGCCTACAGTGGGTCGTACAGTAGGTGTGTTCACAAACCGAGCCTGAGGCCTCTCTCCAACTCTTGCAGGACAAGGAGCCCCGGGGAATCATCCCTTTAGAGAATCTGAGCATCCGGGAGGTGGAGGACTCCAAAAAGCCAGTGAGTGTTTTGGGAGAGATTTGGAGGGACAGAAGGGATGGGTGTAACAGTTCTTTGCCAAAGATTTAAAGTGCAAAGGTTTACTTAAGAAAAAAAAAGGCAAGACAGCGATGTACTGTCATGCCTTGATTTAGTGTTCAGGCCAAAGATGGGGCCCTAGGAAGGCCCTCGTTCTGTCCACCTGTTGAGCATCACTTATCGACCATCACACAGAAGGGACAGACCTGTGCCCCCAAGGCGGCGGCGGCGGCGGCGGCGGCAGTGGCAGCGGCAGCGGCAGCCTCGCGGTCGGGCTGCCTTAACGGCTTGAGCGCCTTATGAGTGTCTTCCCCATGTCGTGGAGCCTCGTGGAGTCGCTGGTGGGCTCTCTCCCTCATTCCGCAGAGCCTGCTGCACTAACTTGTCCTGGCAGGTGTCCTGGCTGGGGAGCCATCTGCACGCAGCCCTCGCTCCACGGAACTCCCTGCCTGGCCTGGCCTCCCGCAGGCGTGCAACGCCTGGTTGCAGGAAGGCCCCGGGGCGTCTTTGGGAAAGCAGGACGCGGTTTGTTCTTGGTCAGCAGCTCTGTGAGCCCTTGGTCACTCCCCCTCTTTGGTTCTCAGAACTGCTTTGAGCTGTACATCCCGGACAACAAGGACCAGGTCATCAAGGCCTGCAAGACGGAGGCCGACGGGCGCGTGGTGGAGGGGAACCACACCGTGTACCGGATCTCCGCCCCGACGCCCGAGGAGAAGGACGAGTGGATCAAGTGTATCAGGTGGGTGCTGCCTGGGCCTCAGGCCTGCCCCGCCCACGGGGGCTCTCGCCTCTCAGGCGCCGTCTTCCGTGGAGGCCCTGCTGGGCCCCTTTTGCTCCTCATGGGGAGTCTCGAGGGGGTGCCTGATGGTGGCTCGCAGGTGACTTTTCAGCAGCTCCGTGTTCTTGAGTTACAGCCCCAGATCTAGGTGTCCCCAGCGCAGCTCGCTGATCCAGAGCGGGAGGGGGATTCAGGGGGCAGGGGCGGGAGCCATCGGCCCCATCGTGAGAAGCAGGTCTCAGCTTCCCCGTGGCAGCTCGTGGTGATGGCAGTCGGCATGTCCCATCATTTCTGAATCCTGGGGGACACTGCTGGCTCGTGCACGGGCGAGGACCCTGGGGTCCTCAGGGGGGACGCCATCGCCTGGGGCCGGCTCCTGGGTCGGTGCCCCGCAGAGTGAGGCTACTGCAGGGGGGGTGCCCCCGTGGGGCGACCCTGCACCCCGTTCGGCCAGGGCGTCTGTGAGGCCTGTCCAGGTCGTCCCTGAGCCCCACATGCGCGTCCCGCTTGTCCCAGTGCCCTGTCCTCGGGAAGCGCGTCCTCGCCTTCCCACTGGGCATGTCGGCTGGCAGACGTTCCCCAGCTGTTCCCTTAGCGGTTCCCCTGGAGACCAGGGGGGCTGCAGTGGCCACGTGGCCCGAGGCCCTGAAGGCCTTGCACTGTCCTGATAGGCCACAGCCTGCTCCCGAGGGGGCTGAGCGTTCTGTGGTTTGTGTTCTCTTTTGGGACGTCTCCCTTGCAGCCAGTGCCGTCTCCTGGCAGCTAAGGGTGAGCGAACAGCAGCCCCCTCATAACCCGAGAGGTCCGCTCAGCGCGCGCTCTGGGCGCTACCTGGCTGTGGTGTCCCTAGAGAGCCCCGGAGACATTGTTCACGAGACAGTGTCGCTGGCGATGGGTCCTAGTCCGCTCGCAGGAGCCGGCGGTCACCGGGGTAGGGGGTGGCCCGGCCCAGTCGGCAGCTGGAACTGCGCTTCTCTGCAAATGCAAAGCCGGCCTCAGAGAGTGGACTGCCGCCTGCTGGACGGTCGCGACGAACAAACGCAGGGGTGGCTGGGCGGGGCGCTGTCCTGGTCCTGCCCTGGGCTCGCGACGGCCCTGGTCCAGGTCCCGGTTGTGGGGCTGGCAGCGGAGGGCTCCGAGGGTCCCCGGCACAGACCGTGGCAGCCTCCGGAGTGCTTGCGTGCCGGGCGCGGCCCTGCAGCTCACAGACCGTGGGCGCTCACCGCCCCGTCAGATGCCCGCTGCTGCCACGGAGCCCACAGCGCAGCATGTGCGCTCCCGGGTTAGACCGCAGCTGGAAGCGCGTGCCGTTGCCTGTTCCTGCCGTCGCCTGAACTGTGTGTCTCCTTTGGCCGCTGTGCGGGCACAGTGAAGGTTGACGCCCCTGGCTGGGCCTCTGCAGGGGCCCTGGGGGGCAGGGTCCAGGCACCGGGCAGCCCTGCCTGCGCGGCCTCGGCCGGCCCGCCACTCAGCCCCTCCGCGTCCCCCTTCCTGTGTTCCAGGGCGGCCATCAGCAGGGACCCTTTCTACGAGATGCTGGCTGCGCGGAAGAAGAAGGTGTCCTCCACAAAGAGACACTGAGCTGCATGCAGAGCGGACGGGGGTCCCTCCCCAGCACGCGCACCTGCCGGGCCCTGCCCTGGGTTCCTAGGCACCCACTTCTGCTTCTGCCGTGTTTTTAGTGGGAGACAGGCAGGCGGCGCCTTCTCTCTGCACGGACAGTGCAGGTCGCAGAGCGGCCCTGCAGGTCTGCGCCGGGCGCCGGTGGCCCCGCTGGGGTCACGGCGCAGCACTCGCTTGCTGCTTCCCTGGGAGGAAGTAGCAGCCTCGCCCCAGAAGTCCCTGGATCTCCACAGCGTCCCAGGCTGCAAGGACGCAATGGGAGAGAAGCCACATCCTCGAAAGATACATATATTTTTTTTTTTATAAAAAGAGAAACCGAGCAGCGCTGTCCCACGTATCCTGCCCGTCCGCTGCGGGAGGCTGCGCCCAGCGGCCGCTGCTGTGGGCGCCTCGGGGGCTCGGGTGGGCTGGGGAGAAGCCAGGGCTTAGGCCTGACGCAGGGGCCGTGGTGGGGACAGAGCCCACTGGACCCTCGTGTTGCTTTTCTCTCAAAATTCACGCCTGGTGGGCTTTAGAATAGAAAGCATTTTTCTGAGCTAAATACCTAGTAACCAAAACTGTGAGGCAGGCGGCCCCCGCAGAGGCTCGGGGTGGCCTGACGATTCCTTCTCTGGTTTTGCTTCCCGCTCCCCAGGCTCCGGTCCTCGTTTTAGAGGAAGGGGCCGGTCTTCCCTCTCACCTAGGGCTTCAGCGTTTTCTGCCTCAGCACCACCCTCCCTGGGCCCCCTCCCGTCCCCCCCGCCATGCCTCCAGCGCTGACCCCAGGGGGGAGGGTGGAGCGGCAGCGGGAAGGCTGGCTTCAGCTCTGCTGGCCCTCCGACGGACGCGTGAGCGGCCGCGCCCGCCGCCCAGCAGTGTGCAGGGGCCGGGGGACAGCCCCGCCCTGCCCTGCTCTCAGGGACCCCCGGGGCGCTCCCGCCGCCTGTCCGGGGGGGCGGGGCGAGCGGGCTGGCATCTCTGGAAATAGCTTTCCTGAAAGGGACTGGGGGGCAGCACCTGGGGGACTCTCCGGGGTCCCTCCCTCTCCTGCAGGTCCTGCTTGGAGTGGCTCCAGGCACTTTTATGCCGGAGCTCGTGAAGGTGCCAGGAGGGTCCAGGCTGGGAACCTGACCTTTCTGGGCGCTGCGGGGGTCCAGGCGGCCTCGGGCGGTGCCGGAGCCGCGGCCCAGACAGAGGGGCCTGGTCAGTATTAGTCTATTTATCAGAGGTGTAAATTATCCATGTATAGTTTTTCTCCTTTTAGATTATTTTGTATTTGTTTAAAAAAAGTTTTGTCAAAATATAAAATATAAAGAAATGGCTGAAAGCAAAGCTGTTGACAGGGTTTTTAAAGAACTATAATTATTATTCCAGTCTTTTGTTTGGTTGGGTTTTTTGCCATGTAAACTAGCACAAAGAAGCTACAGCAAATAAACTCCAATCTGCCCAAAGCACATGTCGTCTGTGGACTCTGTCACCGGGGGGCTGGAGCAGACGGGGGGCGTGTCATGGCCACTCCCGTCTGAAGTCTGGCGGCCGTGTGGGGAGGAGGGCCTGTCTCCCGTTACGGAGAGCACCGCCAAGGAGGCAGCTAGCGTGCTCATTGCCCCTTTCGAAAGGAGAAGAAACGAACGTCAGCCATCCAGCTTCAAGTGAAGATCGAGAAGGGCACCTTTAGCCGATGCGTCGTCGGCACATTTCAGTTTCCCGCTTGGCCCGCACCCCCGTCGTGGTGAGACGCTGCCAAGGCAGGGCTGGCCCCGCTGCGTGGCGTCCCCGGGCCGGGAACCGGGAGACAGGCAGCCCTGGCCCGCCTCCCGCAAGCAGCCGCCGCCTCCTCCCCTCTCTGCTTCTGGCTTTAAGCCCCCAGCCCTGCGCCTTTCGGCCCCCAGCGACCTCTGCGGTCCACCTGGGGGACAGACCGTTAGATGTCCTCCCTTTTGATGCCTAGTTAACTTTTTTATCTGCTCCCATCTTTGGAAGAAGGGGCTACCACCTTGCCTGCCTCCCATGAGTCTTTGCCAGTTATCCTCTCGTGCACGTCCTTAAATCTTCCCCACTGACCCCTTCAAGGCACAGGGGCACAAGGCGCTCACCTGCAAAGCAGCCGTCTAAGCTCAGGTACAAGACAGGATGGCTGCCCCTTGCATCCAGCATTGTACTGGAGGTTCTCGCCAGGCAATCAGGCACGAAAAAGAGACAACTTCCAGGTAGGAAAGGAAGAAATAAAACTAACTTTATTTACAGATCACATTACCCCATATTTATGAAATCCTAGTGAAGCTACAAAAAACCAGTTAGAACTAATAAGCAAATTCAGCAGGGTTGCAAGATACAGGATCAATATACAAAAGTCTATTTTTTCAACACAGTAGCTATGAACAACCCAAAAATGAAATTTTCATTTACAATACCATCAGAGAATAAATCACTTAGGAATCAATTTTTTTTTTAAGTCCAAGATGTATACAGAACTACTGTACATACATCATTGAAAGAAAGTAAAGACTTCCAAGGGAAGATCCAGTATTCATGGATTGGGAGATAACCATACTCCCCAAATTCATTTACAGACCCAACACTGTCCCTACCAAAATCCCAGATGGCTTTTTGTAGAAATGGAAAAAAAAAATCCTAAAATTCATATGAAAAGGAAACGGACCAAGAATAGCTATGACCATCTTTAAAAAGAACAAAGTTGGAGGACTCCCACTTCCCGATTCCAAAACTCACCACAGTCAAGATGGCGCCGGCACAAGGACAGACAGACAGGCAGGTCAGTGGAATAGAATTGGGAGTCCAGAAATCAACATGTACGTTTATGGGCAGTTGGTTTTAGGCCACAGTTCCCAGGGGGAGGAATAGTCTTCACCAAACGACATTGGGGTGAGTGTTCACAGGCAAAAGAATGAAGCTGGATGCTTATCTCCCGGCACCTGCAACAACCACTATGGGTCAAAGACCTGCGTATTAAAGAGCCGAGACAATAATAACAAGAAGAAAACGGATACGAATCCTCATGACCTGAGATTGGGCAGTGTTTTCTTTTAGATATGACCCCGAACTACCAGCAACCAAGAAAATTTTTCAGAAAGGGTAAATTGGACTTGATCGAAGTTAAACACGTTTGTGCTTTCAAGTCTGCTGTCAGGAAAGTGAAAAATCACAGGGCAAGAGGAAACACTCGCCAGTCACATGGTAGGTAAGACTCTGGCACACAGCATACATAGGGAACTCCTGGAACTCAATGAGAAAAAGACAAGCCACCTAAAAAACGGGGCAACGTTTTGAGTAGGCATTTCTCCAGAGACGCGCCAATGGCCGGCGAGCACATGGAAACATGTCGACGTCACCAGTCCCTGGGAAATGAAAGGCAAAACCACTAAGAGGTACCAGCCTATCCCCTCCCCCCGGGACATCTGTCCTCAGACACGTGAGCGCTAGAGAGGAGGTGGAACCGCGGGAGCCCACGAAGCTGGTGCAACCAGGTAGCGCAGCCCCTCGGGAAGTTGAGCGTGGAGCCGCCATGTGACCCAGCAGTTCTGCCCTAGGCATGCGCCCGAGAGGACTGAAAACGGTCCACAAAACCTTGCACACAAGTGTTTATAACATCAAAAATGGGGAAACGACCCAAATGTCCCTCAGCTGATGCATGGATAAGATACACGAACTTTGTCGTCTGCACACAAAGAAATACTGTGCAGCCGCAGAAAGGAATGAAGTCCAGATTGAGGCCCCAAAGAGCGAAGCCTCAAAAACATTACGCTCAGTGACAGGAGCCAGACACAAAAGTCCGCATGTTGTGTGATTCCGTGGACACGAAATGCCTTGGAAAGGCAGCCTGTGGGGAGAGAAGGTAGATGGGCGGCGGGGGCGGCGGGGGCGGCCGCTCCTGGGCGCAGAGTTTCTCTGGGGGGTGTTGACCGTGCCCTGGAGTGGCAGCGACACCTGTGTAACACTGGGTGGGCCCAGGGCAATGTGGAGGGCACGCTTGGGGGCGAGTCCTGGGATGGGAGAATCACAGCCCCACCCTGCCGCCGGTGCCGGCGCTTCCCACGGTTTCACTGGTTCTCAGGTGCAGCTCCCAGATCGGCCCCCGGGAACGGGTGAGAAAGGCGCACCAGCAGCCCTCAGCCCCGCTTGCCAAAGCGGAGTCTCGTGCCCGCCGACGCTGTGGCCGCGTTCCCCGGGGACTTCGCTGCTCGCGGACGTGGGACGGCACTGCCTTAAGGACCATTCTGCTTCCTCCCCTTCATTGCTGGGCCATGGGTCAGAGCAAGCGAGCTTTACTGAGGCGTAATTATGTACCCGGTATGTGGTACACACACGGAAAGTGTACAACTCAGAGGTCCGGTGCACTCCCAGGGTGTTCAGTCATGAGCACAGGCTGGCCAGTGAGTGCCCCGGTGGTCACCGACACCTGGACCGATGCCGGAACGTCCTGAACAAGAGTCGGGAAGGGTCACCACCGAGCCTGGCGGCGGCGTGTGTCACCCCGCCCCCGCCGCGGGCCACGCTCACGTTTTCGCAGCATGTGCTTCGGGACTTCGCCCGTCTGCACCGGGTGGGGCTCTGGTCCCATTCAGTCCAAGCAAACCCGGCCGTGCCCTCAGGCCGCTGCGATTGCCGCGCGCGTCGGAGCACAGAGCACTTCCTGACCCTGCCTGCCGTGCCGCCCTTCGCGAACGGCACCTTGGGGGCAGCCAGCGGCCCTGTCACGCTGTGGGTCAGCGCTGCCCTCCTCTGGGCCCCTCCCTGCACTCACGCTACCTGCTCAAAGCTGGGCCCTTCCTGACGCCGCTGCCACCACCGCCCCGGCCAGCTCCACCGTCCGGGGCACCCGGCCCCTGCCGCCCCCCACCCCCTCTCAGCACTGAGTTCCCCTGGGCTTCGCGTGGACCATGTCTCCCCTTGGTTGTGCCACTGTTAGGCCTTTATGCCAAGGGTCCTGGCCTGCGTCACGGGGGACAGAGGGACAGAGAGGATGGATGACATGTGACCCAAACACTCTACCAGAGTAAATCCAAGTCTGAATTCATAAACTCACTTTTGTTTTAAAGAGGAAATTTATGAATAAAATAAGGACAGAAACTTTAAAAATTGCCAGAATAATTAGCCCAATGTTGGGCCTATTGGACATTTGCTTTTGTGCCTTTTAAGAGTTAACACCATTTTGCCCTGGCTGGTGTGGCTCAGTGGGTTGAGCGCTGGCCTGCAAACCAGAGGGTTGCAGGTTTGATTCCCAGTCAGGGCGCAGGCCTGGGTTGCAGGCCAGGTCCCCAGTAGGGGGCGTGCAAGAGGCAACCACACATAGACGTTTCTCCCTCCCTTCCCCCTCCCTCTAAAAATAA